GGGGGGCATTGCGATGTGAACAATGCTTGCGAAAATACCTCCGAATATCATCGGTCCCATCATCGAGGTACCTCTAACTAGTCTAAAAAGTAAAAAGAAAAAAAAAAGAAAAAAGAGTCTGCGTAACACTCACAGCGTAGCCTTACAGACTTTTGATTATTCAGGACTAAAAGATATACTACAATCGTACTGGCAATAGCGTTTGGGGCAGGAAAAAAAAGACCAGGGGTCTCGAAATTACAGTACTCTCTATACTATCCATCAACCTTTTGACACCTACACACCTACATAGATGGATACTTTCACTAACCCCCTCCCCCCTTCCTTTTTCATTTCAGAAAATATCTAAACTCATTGTTTTACGTTTTACCCCACCGCTAAACCTTACCCACGTAGCCTTGTCAAAAACCTGTAACCTACAACTTTCCAAAACACACTATACGTACTTGGTAAAACCCTTTTTTCTTTCTCTTATGACGTCACCTCCCTCTTTCCTCTTCCAACCACCACCATCACCATCACCATCCTCCCCCTCTTCTATACAAACTCCCATACTCGCCTAACTTGACCTAACCAACCAACCATGCTCTCCACCATACTCGCCTTACCCACACTCCTCCTAACCCTCCACACCACCACCCTCATCCTCCCCACAATCTCCCGACTACGCCAATACGAATCCGCCAGCAAAACCGCAGCCCAGTATTCCAACACGGCAGCCGAAAAGCTGCGGAAAACCCAACTTACACAGGCAAGTGGGGTTATCGCTGTACGTTTTCTTGCCTTACTCTATCCACCCCATCCACCCCTACTTTACGCCTAATCTAACAATACACACATAAAAGACAACTATTTCTCTTATATCATGCTTGTATTTGTTATCAAGCCCGAGTATTCAGTACCAAGGCGTCACAGCGGGGGTAAATGCGGTAATATGCGGCTTGGCATACGTGCACATGGCGGGGTTCTGGAATGAGCGGGAGCAAACGCGGATTCCACTGGTCAAGGATTTCAACGAGGCGATTAGGGGGAGTGAGAAGGTGGTTTTGCTGTTGGGGACGTTGGGGGTGGGGTGGGGAGTTGCGGCGGGATTGTGGGTGGTTGGCATGGGGGAGGGTGTGGTAGGGTTGGTGATTTGGGGGGTGGCGGTTGGGGCTAGGGCTTGGGGGATTGCGGGGGAGATGGGGTGGAAGAGGTGATGATTTTACGATGATGATGATGATGATGAGGGCAAATGGTTATAGAGTAACTACATATTAATGTCTTTTATAAGAGTAATAATAATAGATTGGGTGGATATACGATAATATAATTGGGGTATCTAACTACTTTACCTGATCAACAAAACACAGGCTATGACTTCCCCTGGTACTGCATATCCTGTATTAAGCGCATGGTATCAACTTCCCGTACCCACTCTTCGATCCTCGCACCTGCCTCGCCGACAAGCCGCTCATACGTCTCATTGAGGAAAAAGAGGGAAGTGTGCGCCGTGACTTCATCCATGTTTTCCATGAATACAGGAATCCAGGTAGGATCCTTGTTGCCGTCGCCGTCTTTGGGCGGCAGCATGCAAAATTTCTTGAGCTTCTTACGTTTAACCGGAACACTTGTATCGGAATCTGTGCGTGGTGGGTGACTGCTGTGACTGTCGTGACTGTCGGTTGTAGAGAGAGTATACATGGATTCATTACGGCTGTCTGGCGGGGCCTGGTTCATGATGCGACTAGTGGAAAATTCATAGTGGCCATAGGGACCTCGATGCGGACCGGGCTGATCCAGGTGCAAGGCACTAACATCTTCCTCAATCCCCACAATTGCGGGAACGGCCTCTGGTGTTTCTGGCGCAGGCGTTATTCCCTGACGCAAATCTGCTTCACGCTGTCTCTGTCTCGCCTCCTTTTCTCTTTGCTCAGCCTCGGCTTGCCTTTGCTCTCTTTCCTTCTGCCTCTGCCTTTCCTCCCTCGACATGTTTCGCTCTTCTTCGTGCCTCTTTTGCTCGGCCTTTTCTTGCTCCTTGTAATTTCTCTCTTGTTCTTGCTGCCGCTTCTTCTCCGCCTTTCGCTGCTCTTTTTCCCATTTCTCCTCCAGCTTTGTGCGCTCGTTGATGATCTTGTTGCGAGCTTTTACAGCCCTTTGATATTCCTTGAGCGCCTGCTCATACTCCTTTTCTGCGACTTTGCGCTGGGCTTTGTCGCTAAATCGCACCAAATCTACAAATGGTGGCTCCTGGGGGATGGGTGGTATTTCAGGAAGATCAGGTGGGCCGTTTTGTTGAGTGTGTGAGTGATTAGACTCCAGGGCTTGTCCATCTTCTTGGCCCCCGATAGATGTCGGGGGTGGACTTGCTATAGGACCAGGGTGTACGTGAGCTAGTTCTGCATCAGATGATGTTACTGAGGGGCTTCTGATACTCTCTTGCTGGTTGGTGGGTGTCGAATGGTAGTGTGAGAGACTCGTTCCACTATCTTGATGATGAAACTGAAGGCTTGATGGATGTGAAGGCGAAGGCGAAGGCGACTTTGGACGCTGGGCACATGAAGGATTTGGCTTCTTGGCCCTTCCCGTGCTTACTGTGTAGTAGTTGATGAAGCGCACCCGAGGGACCGAGGGCATCATGGGATGACTGCTTTTTCTCTTGGCCTCGTCGTCTTCTTCCAGTGCCCGTATCCTAGCATATCTCTCCTTTAATTCTTTGTAATCCGCCATGGCACCTCCGAATTCAAGATGCGACTTGACGAGGCCTTTGGTGGCCTCGGCCAAGCCGTCTTTGTAGTGCTTAGTGAGCCAGTGCAAACTATTCTCCCAACCCTTTCTGTTTGGTAGGTGAACATCATTAGCGAAACTGGGGTTGTAATTTGGATCATTTGGCTTCGGGTTGAAGAGTGTGTTGATTCGGCTAGGCCTCTGTGCCGGGCTGGGGTCCTCGATAATGGCATCTTGTGGGGGTGGGGGTGCGTTGAAGATGCTACCTAGGCCAGCCTTGATAATGCCAGGGTGCATGCCCAGAAAGGGGACATCAAAGTTTAGGACTCCAATGATGCGATGGCGAAAGGCTAGAGCTATGTCTGCGGCAAGCAAACCGCCCATGGAGTGACCGACCAGAATAATGTCTGTCCAGGGGTCCTCATGAGGGGCGAGCCTGGCGGCTGTTAGCGGGGGTGCAAGTCGCGCAGGCGTGTAGCGTACCAAGCTGAAAAGTTGTCTCTGGCGATTTGCAGCGAGTCCCGTGACTTGTAGCGGGGGTATACTTTTGTGTGGACTACGTGAGAGTCTGCAAGAGTGACGGTGACGAGATTATGGACGTGGGCCGGGAAGCTTCTAAAACTTGTTTCATCGCCCATGAAGCCATGGATGTAGATGAGGAGTAGGCGGCGACGGCCAGAGTCTTCAAGGGCGGGGTCTGGGACGAGGGACTGGGTAGACGAGGAGCGTGGATCTTTTGAGGACATGGACAAGGAAGCAGACATGGCTGAATAGGGAGGGGGCGCGTCTTGGGCTGGAGTGGAATTCCGCGGGGGCAGTGGTGGTGGGCGCGTATGGTGCTCTGGGGGGGCCAAGGCAGGCAACGGCGAAGGCGACGTCATGGCTGGGCGAACTAGAGTTGCAGCGGCAGTGGCTTGCGGCTGCAGCAACTATCACTACATGTGGATATTGTTGTGTGGGAGAGAATAACGGTTTTTTGGGGGGAGGGGGGGATTGGGATGGTGTCGACGATGATGTTAATACATGGCTTGGTACAAGGCGCAGCAAGGCGGAAGACACTGCAGAGGGGCAATGTGGGGGTGCAGCAGTGCAGCAGCGAGGGCGGACAGGCCACAAGTGGTTTAGCCTGGCAGGAGCTGACTGCAGCATCCGAGCAGTCACGTGATGAAACAATTTGTTGAGGCAGCAACATTGCAGGGAAACATGTGTTCCTGGACATGGCGTGGTGGACTGGGGGAAAACAGTGGTGATTGCAGGCATAGGCCGCCACCAAAACGTACGCGACGAGTGCTATAGCAGGCCATGATTAGCACCCATACCGTATTCATGGTGGAGGCGATGAGCGGCGGAGATTGGAGCCAAGACAGGCAACGCTCGTGCATGTGGAGTGGAGGAGCGGCGACAAGCGTCGTGATGACGACGAAGACGACGACGAAGACGACGGCCTGACGAGGATGGGCATGCTGGCGAGACGGGCCTTTGGGGGGTTACTTGCAATGGGGGGGAGACGAAGGCGGCTTGGCAATAAAAGGACGTGTGGGACGAGTCGTGTACACGGCAAAGCAGTTAGTCGGGCGTGGTTAGTTGTAGGTGCGACAAGACCAGACGACAGCAAGGCGGCAGCTAAGAATAACCTCGAGCGTTTGCGGGTCTGCTTGTCCAGTGTTTGGGAATTGGGGTTCCTGAGCGACGGCGTGGGCGCCATGACTGCACCTGCACCTGCAGACGGGACGGGTGGTGGCTACTAGTGATAGGTACTTAGTGTAGTAGCATATGCATGCATCTGCATCCAGCCAACCGGCCAGACGACGGCGACGGCGACGGCGACGGGGGCGACGACGGGCGACGAGTACCGTGGGACGCGACCATGTTATTCTCCGATGTGATTGATTGCATGCCACGTACTGAATGAATACGAAGGCCGATAACGCATTTCATGGGACCTATGACATGTACTTGGCGCGTGTGCAATGAATGAATGATACAGTGTTATACCATCCATCCACAGGCCCTCGGACCCGGCGCACATTGATCCATAGCAGCATCGGGATTGCGACGCTGGTTCGCTGACGGGCAGCCGCGTCCTGGCCGTGCCGGGGGTGGATCCTGCTATTCCTGGACGTCTTATCTCGCTTGTGCGCCAATCAGCCTTGCCAGCCCTGTCCCCATGTCTCGTGCTCGTTGCCTCGCTGCCTCAGTCTCCGTCTCTTTGTCTCCCTCTCCCACGCCCACAGAGGGCCCGTTCCCGTCGCCGATTGCAGACGCCAACAATCCCTTTGCTGCCGCCGCCGCCGCCGCTACCTCCCTCTCCCATCCATCCATCCTCCCAAAAAAAAGGCCCTCGTGTTTGCGCGACACCCTTCACGCCCGTCACTCCTTTGCCCGCTGCTGCTGCTGCCGCTTCCATGCTGCCACTTTGAAGCTTCCCCTTTGCGCGTGTGTATATGCCCAATTCGGCTGCTTGTCACCTCGCCTCGCCCACACACTGACCCCCAGCCCGCCAGGCCCCATTGCTTCGCCGCTGACCAGGCTTCCGCTCCTTTCTCGCCATTCACTCGCTCGTGCTCGCCATCGGCCTCCATTGACTGGATCCCTTGCCTCGTCTGCTCTAATTCCGGTCTTTCAACTTTGCTACGCTCCTTACCTGCCGGAAACTTTGAAAACAGCAGAAACATCAAAAACAAACAACACATGTTCCGCCAATACATCCGCCTCACTACCACCACCACTACTACTACTACTACTACCACCACCACCACCACCACGCCTGCACCGTTGGCCCTGGCCCTCTAGCTTTGGTCACATTGTCGCGACTTTATGGACGGTCCTGCCAACCCCACCCTCGTATCGAGAATTCATTCGCGCCATCGTTACCAAGCCCAACAAGCTCCCCAGCAAAGGTTTCCTGCACCCGACCAGCAACAGCCACGCGACCAATTCCTAGCCCCAGGACCTGACGCCGGACCCAGAAGCAGAGAGAGTATGAGCAGAGGCCATCGCTTCTTCCACCGTCGCGCTGTGCTGGACAATGTTGAAATCGTCACGGTCCTTGCTACAGTCGACGAAGCTGGCAATGTCATCGCCCAGGAAACACTACTGCCTGCGCCGCCACCATCTTTGCCAGATGTAATCGCTACTGCTGCTGCTGCCATGGTTTCTGCGGCACCAGTCGCTCAGCCAGTTCAGCTAGCACTTCCTTCAGTTGTGCCTGCTATACCCGCTGTCCCCGTTGCGCCCATTCCCGCACAACCGCCTGTGCCTGTACCTGCGCCTGCGCTACCATCTGTGGCTCCTGCCGTGCCGTCCTCTGTAGCTGCTCCTGCACTGCCAGTTGCGCCTGATACTGCGATGCCCGTACCCGATACTCCGTTGCCTGTGCCCGATACCGCATTACCTGATACCGCACTGCCTGTACCTAATTCTGCGGTTGCGGCACCCGTACCCGATCCTGCACTGCCAGCTATACCCACGCTTGCAACATCTTCTGTGGCTGTTCCTACGGTGCCAACCCTGTCTGCTCCAGCGCTGGCAGCTGTTCCTGCGGTGCCTTCTGTACCTGTTCCTGTTCTACCATCTGTGCCAGCAGTACCGCCGTTTCCCACCGATCTGGTCGTCCCAGCTGTCCCAGCGTATCCTTTTCCGTCGCTGAACTATGTCGCGCAACCCGTAGTTACATCTGCTTCTAGTGCTTCATCAATGCTTTCTTCGATCCAAAGCACTGCCACGCCATCTCTTCCCTCTGCTATCAACTCGGCCACTAACACGACCCTATCATGTAAGCATGCCGTATTTCCATATTTGTTCCCCACTAACGCTGACAGCTACCTCATCACTGTTGTCGTCTTCTACTATCTTGGCCTCCTTTGATAGCATTTCGGCCTCGTCCGCAACGGACCTCGCTGTATCAGTCAATGCCGTCCCGACTCGCTCACTCTCTGATTCACAGTCTGTTGCTGCTTCCACCAGGACGTCACTCACACAGGCAATAATCAGCTCAAACTCGGCTCGCAGCATTGCCTCTGCTTCGAGTGTCCCAACTACCTCGAGTGTACCGACTACAACCGCCAATTATGGCGGCTGGGGCGGTAGTGCGCCTGGCACCGCAGGAGTCCCTGCTCCAACTACCTCAGCTACGTCATCTGCCGACTCCAACTCCAGCCCTAGTGCTCTTGAAACGCCCAAAGTAATTGGTAGCGTGTTAGGGAGTCTTGCCGGGGTTGCCCTCATCTTGGCCTTGATATTGTTTCTTTTGAAACGCCACAAGCAGAAGCGAGGCGGTGCTCTACAGCTCACTGGCGACGATCACCACCAGGAAAGCAGCCGGTCCATGACCCAGGCGCCTGCCCCAAGCAACACCCTTGTACCTATCGCCTTTCTCAAACGCTTTTCTGGCATGTCTGGCAAGACGGCCGAGACTAGCACGAGCGCTGGTGAGCGGAGCTTTCAACGGGTGTCGGGTCGCAAGTTGCCATCTGCATTCAGTGAAGGCATGACGTCTGATCAATTCTCTCGTGGAGGCACAATGTCTGGTTCATCATTCTACCAAGACGACCACGGCCTCTATGGTGGCGCAAGTCTGTCTAAAGAGATGGGCAAGGAGATTGGCGAGAGCTCTGCCCCACGTGAATCAGGACAGATGAGCTTTCGACCCAGTCCTGCGAGAACACCCATCATCCGCCATCCCGACGATGGGAACCCTTTCGCAGATCGCCACCATCTCAGCCCGCCACATTCTCCTGTCGGCGAACTGCCTCCTAGAGGTACACTCGGAAGAAGCTTGCCCTCGGCCGACGGGTCGCGCTCAAGCAAATTCACCGAGAATGTTTGAACGACCTGTTAGCCTCTGCTTCTCTGTTTACTCTTTGTTTATACTTTATTCACGACACGCATGAAAATGCACATACTGTTTGGTTTTTTTTTGGGCTTGCCTACCAGCACCCCACAGCTGGTTTTGGGTCGGCCATCTGGTCTCAGTTATACCCCTTGGATTTTTTGTCGGACAATGGCCTTTCTCACTCGCCCTCATACTGTCCCTAATCCGGTCGGCCCCATGCTGGTTTGGCCCGATAAAATAATGTCTTGTCTTTTTCCTTCGTTTCTTTGAATGTGTGTTTTGTTTTTTGGTCGGCGTGTTCAATTCTCTGACGACTATCGCTTTTGAGCCTCGGGCTTGAGAGCGAAATGCGGTTGTTTCCATACCCTTTTGGCGTTGTTCAAGCTGAGCAAATATTGCTCCGGTTCTACGCCTCACTTTTTTTTGTTTAAAACTAGCCCTACATACATATATGTATGTGTGTATGTACTTATTGTCTTTCTGGTGGGACCATCCTTTGATGGATGAATAGGGTAGTCGTGTGAATATGGGTTCGCACCATGTTAGTGTATCTGAGGGCGTGGAGGCTAGACGTCTAGTTGATACAAAGTGATCAATAGAGTGTCTGTCACGCCTTTAAAAGTATGGTTTTACTTGGTTCAATATGATTTTTTGATGCTGTGATGATTTGTGACTTTCGCTGCACATTACAACCACTCCCAGTGACGTTTTTTTTTAAAAAGAAGATACGCGATATAAGTAGGTCCAGGAACCTCTACTTACTTTGGTTGAATCCAAAAATTCTCTCTCTCTCTTTCCTCTTCCCCCAGCAGCCAGCAGATCCCAGCTCGCAGCAGCAGCAGCAGCGAGTAAACAAATTCAAACAACTCAACTCAAACAACAAATCACATACACCAGTACCTTTTAAACCCCTCCCACCTCAATAACCATACCACCAATCTTTCCTCCCTCCATTTCTTTCTTTCCTTTCCCATTCCTCTCATCCCATCCCAACCAAACATAAGCCCCCCCCCCTTCGATAAACTTTATCCGCCCCTCCCCCCCCTTCTCGGATGAATTTTAACTGTATACCGCCGAGTACATGACCGAGAGTTCATTGATAATCATAATCGCTTTTTCTTAGCATTGCCCGGGGGGGAAAGGGTCTAGATTTCCACAACTTGGCTTTGTGCAGTTTTATGGGTCGGCTGGGGGTGGGGGAAGGGAGGTTTTTTTTTTCTGGAGCGCATACTTGGGCTTCTTGTTGTTGTTGAGGTTAAAGGTTAAAGGTACTTGGAATATTCTCGTGATTGATTTTTTCTACATGACTTTCGCGCTCGTGTGTGTGTGTGTGTGTGTGTGTGTGTG